CATCCCCCCTCCCCCAACACTTCCTTCAGGTAAATGGTGGAGAAGAAGCTTATGTCCAGACACCCCTTCAGATTTGCTCTGACGTTTTTATCGGAGATGTACATCTTGTCTTCTTCTCCGTTGAGATCAAACAACTAACAGATGATGGAGAAATACAGGAAGTGAGTCAAATGTTGGGAGGCAAGTTGGAGAACTATATCAATGAAATGCTGCAGTTCAGGTAGAGGTGTGCCAGAGACACTGATATATCTCGTGTACAACTTGCAGAACCTGTCAGTGTGTTGATGAAGGTTTTTAGATACCCAGTCCCGTTTTTTATGAAATGTCTCAGCCAAATGTCAGTGACAGCATAGCCTTAGCAGAGGATTCAAATGCTTAACCGTTCGGAAACAAGCACAGTTAGTGGTTTCTCCCTTAATAAAACCATAAACCACTTGCTCGTTAAATGGCCTGCAAGCGTGAACATTAAGAGCAAGTCATTGTGGTCATAAAGTTACTCTGTTGGCATCAGCTCATGCTTGCTCAGGGCTGTGACTTAGAACATATGTGGTGATTTGATAGATGACAATGTGCTTGCCTGCCAACCCCAAGGTCCTGGGTTTGAATTTCAATTTAGACAAACTTTTATGACAGTCTGTAAGCTTAAAATGGACATAAAAAATGTTCTGGGAATAGAAGGTGAACTGGGTTTCACAAATAAAATTTCTTCCACATTTTTATTTTATTTTTAGGAGCCGCTGTGGTGTAGTGGCTAGACGCTCGTTTGCGGATTTGAAGGTCGTAGGCTCAAGTCCTGATGGAGCCAAACGTTCTTTCAAAAATGACCTCGGCACTCAGATTGACCTAGTCTTAAATGGGTACCAGGTAAATTCCTGTGAAGTAAAGGCAGTCGGCATAATGTTGACCAGATCACCAGCTGAGTGCCGACTGGTCTATAAAATATAGATCTAGCCCTATATGCCCTAAACTCCCGATGTCGTGGAAAAGAGCTCTTTACTTTCTCCTCTATTCTCATTTCTGCCTTAGCCATCAGCTGGTCAGCAAAATAATTGTTCCCAGGTCGATTCAGCCTCAGATGGATACCATGAAATGTCCTGAAGGGAACATGGAACTTTCCGCCAGCGTTTACAGCTGGTGCACAGGAAGAAGCAGGAAGTGAATAGAAAGGACAATAAATAAACGAATTAAAAAAACAAAATCAGTTTTATTATGGTCTGTGGTAAACAAATTATTCTGTATTCATACTGCAATTGTAACAATGTGAAATACCACCAGACCAAAGTTGGAGGTGGTGTTACCATGCTGAGTTACAGATTTAACAAAGACATATTTAAATGAGTTTGATAACTGACTGAAACTAAAAATGCAAATAGGAAAAGTGTTATGTAGTGAAAAGAAAAAGACTTATTTCCATGTGAGATCCAAGATCCCATCTGTGGGTGAGGAGAATTGACGGCGCATAAAAGGCGCCTAATTAGGTAGTTTGCTGACATCAGATGTGTTGGGTCAAAAGGCACAGATATTGCAGCCTAGCTGCAAACCCCAAGGTAACATACAAAGTGCACTTTTTTGGTGAATGCCGAAGAATAAATGACTTCTTAGAAAAAAATTGGAGTTGCAAAGTTCCATGCGAGTAATTGTAGGTTTTTTGTTGTGACTGTAACTGATTCACAGAGCATGCTGAGAAAGATGGAGACAGGTGTGCTTCATGCACAGTGGCATGCATCGCTTCAGCAGTCCAGGATGGTTAGCATCCTTTGAATAATTTCTCCAGGTAGTTGTGTTAGGAAGAATTGACATCACTTTACTCGGCCCCCGTGTGGGTTCCGGGGCCTTATTGTGGGGAAAACAAGAATAGACCCACTGCCTCCCCAAAAGCATGTCGTAGAGTCGGCTAATTGGGGAGCTTCCTTTGAAGTCGGAGTGCATCTGCCTGAGAGGCAAGGAACCAGCAGACTGCATTCAATTGAATCAGATCTGTGAAACTGATGCACATGCAACACTCAGGTTCTGGAGCATGACTGCAGTCCAGAAGTGGACGAACAACCAGAACTTTACGCCAGAGTGTACAGCTGGTGAACACGAAGAAGAAGAAGACTTCACTCGGGACATTCCGACATTTGCTCCGTCCCTTTCTTCAGTAACAAACAGTTGACATGCAAATGGTACCAGTTCCACCCTGATTAAAGTCTGCCTCCGTTTCCACTTCAGTGTTGAATATCTTCTAGAACCTCTACTCCCCCCCCCCCCCCCCCACCATTGAATTAGTTTGTGTGTATAGATTCCCTTTATTCTTTAGTACGATCTACGGGGGAAGGACGGGGGTGGGAGAATAGACCCCCCTCCCTCCTCCAAGCATGGGGAAGAAGGCAACTAGTGGATTTTCATTTGAAGTCAGAGTGCATCCACCGGAGAGGTGAAGAATCAACAGTCTGCATACAAATAAGCCAGAGATGTGAAGTGGATGTGCACACAAAACTCAAGTTCTGAAAGAAGATCAAAGTTCAGAAGTGGACGAATGACCAGAACTTTCCACCAGGGTTTACAGCTTGTGAACGCTACTGTTCATTGTTTATTTAAAGGTCATCTTCATCGTGCATCGGACATGACCTCTAGTGCTCCGATCTCTTCCTGGGTATGTCTTCAAGTGTTTTAGGCTAACAACTCCCATCCTGTCCTGGCGGATGTAACGACAGGTGATTCCCATGTGGTTTTCCCGTCTCGCTGCTACATCCAGGGCATGCAGTCTATTCAATGAACAGTCATTTTCCACGAAACTGAAAGCCTCACAGTGTTTAGTGTCCTATGGCATTGATGATGTCTCTCCTGTCCGCAGATGGACCATTTCTGACAGTGGCACTACCAGCCAGGGTGTCTGCTCTCTCATTGCCTCTTACAACATTGTGAACACTATGAAGAAGAAAACTGAAACATGTATCTGATGGAAGCAAATAAATAAAATGGCTTTAGAAACGACCACATAAATGCTGCTGAAAGGCAAGTGTAGAACTTGCTGTAGATGAGGAGTCAATAAGTACCTTGGACTTTCTTGTTCTTTCTTCTTTTCTCTAGTCCTGTTCTCTCTTTTAGCATCAGATTTTGAAGAGGCATCTGGTGTAAGCCTTGGCTTGTGATACACAGATGCTGGTATTCATGGCCTCTGACATTTCCTCTATCCATCGTCTGCATGGATGACCTCCATCTCTGCTTCAGCTGTCTGTAAGTAAGCTCTCTGTGGTGCACTATCCTGCGGTAATTTTGATACATTTCTGAACAATTTGAACTGTTGTCTCCAAATGCAATTTATCACTAGTACTGTCCCAACTTCCAGTCTCATCACTTCTGAACCTGTCTCTTCTTGTCACATTACTGTCTTGACTAAAAGAGGATTCTCAGAGACTCACCCTGACAGTTTTTATTCATGTATTCAGTAAAAGAACCAGCACAGTTGTTGCATCTGTAAGGTTCTTCTCCTGTGATTAACCATATGGTGATCTATATCAATTTAAAAAAAACCCATAAAAATCTCATTTATCAGACTGATTATTCACATGTATTCTTGTATGGCCCCTCAGATGGCCAGCCTGGGCAAAAGAAGCACCACATACACTGCATGTGTAAGGTTTCTCTCCTGTGTGTATTCTCTGGTGACATAACAGAGAACTTTTTACAGCAAAAGAGGCATCACAAATATCACATTTATAAGGCTTCTCTCCAGTGTGTGTTCTCTTGTGATGTTTCAGGCTTCCATGTTCAGTAAATGAAACACCACAAATATCACATGTGTAAGGCTTCTCTCCAGTATGTATTCTCCTGTGTTTCCTCAAACAGTCAGTTTTTGCAAAAGAAGCATCACAAACATCACATCTATAAGGTTTCTCCCCTGTGTGTTTTCTCTTGTGGCACTTCAGAGAGTGCGTATCAGCAAACAAAACACCACAGACATCACATTCATAAGATTTCTCTCCTGTGTGTTTCCTACCATGGCTCTTAAGATGGAAAGATAAATAAAAAGAATCGCCACAAACATCACATTTGTAAGGTTTCTCTCCTGTATGTATTTTTTTGTGGCGAGTCAGACTGCCTGCCTGATAGTATGAAGCATCACAAAAATCACACTTGTAAAGTTTCTCTCCTGTGTGAATTCTCATATGATATTTCATAACACGTCGTTCGGTAAAACTTACACCACAAATGTCACATTTATGAGGTTTCTCACCCATGTGTGTCCTCTTATGGCTTATCAGATTCCCAGCTTGAGCAAAAGAAGCACCACAAGTATCGCACGTGTAAGGTCTCTCCCCTGTATGTGTCCTCCGGTGGTTTTCTAGATTGCCATGTTGAAGAAAAGAAGCACCACAGAGGTCACATTTGTATGGTTTCTCACCTGAATGTGTTTTCTTGTGGCGCTTCAGATTTGAAACCTGAGAAAAAGAAGTATTACAAACACTGCATATGAACGGTTTCTCTCCTGTATGTGATCTCCTATGACCTTCCATGGTAGATTTTTCAACAAAACTGGCAAAACAAATATCACATTTGTAAGGTCTCTCCCCAGTGTGTAGTTTTGTGTGTCTCTTAAGAGAACCAGTTTCACTAAAAGAAATATCACAAAAATCACATTTGTAAGGTTTCTCTCCTGTGTGAATTCTCATGTGGCTTTTTAGACTGCCAGCCACAGTAAAAGAAGCACCACAAACATCACATTTGTAAGGTTTTTCTCCTGTATGTCTTCTCATGTGGCTTTTAAAACTGCTAGACTGATTGAAAGAAGCACCACAAATATCACATTTGTAAGATTTTTCTACAGTGCTTGTTTTCATGTGACTATTTCCACCTCTAGTTTTCCTAAAGGAAGCACCACAAACATCACATTTGTGTGGTTTCTTCCCTGCATGATTCACAGACTGAGCTACAGAAGCACCACAAACACTACACAGTCTTCCTCTCAGATGTTTTCTCACCTGGTTCCTCAGGTGACCAGTGTTGTTAACAGAAGCACTACAATCCTGATCTTCATCAAGTTTCTCCAGGTTATGCGTTATCATGTCTATATTGACAGAAAGATCGCAACCATCAGACATGTGTGGTGTTTGCAGTCTTTGAGGATTATCACCGGCAGAGTCAACAGTAAAATCAACAGACCCGGCAGAGACCTGTGTACGCTCAACTGCCGACTCCTGGTTATGCAACTGAAAATTATAATAATTCAATGATTGGTTCTTATTTACAACGACCCCAGATGACATACTTTCTGACAGTTCATTCCAGGTTTCCACTTTATATGATGCTCCAGAATAATCTCCCACCATTCTCTGAACAGTACTATTTCCTGTTCTTTCTTGAAAGTTTTTATTCACTGTGATGCTGTCAACTTTATTTAATTTATGACCTAAATCCTTGAACAGTGTATCTGATAATTCTTGATTCATATGCTGAACATCTTTGGCAGCATAAATCTCCACTGGTGAATGATCTTCTGTTGTGATGCAAGGATAGCCCAGAGAATGTGTGTGTACTTCTGAAACACACCAAAGTAAATATGTGGTTATTAACTTCATGGAGATGCCAGCAACATTCAGCATTTAACAGTATTTAAGTGGTGTGTAACAAATAAACAGAACTTTAACTGATAAATATTTTCAGTGTGTCAGAATAATTTATGAGATCACCATCATGCAGCAGATCCTTTGCCGTGCTAATTCCTGCCTCATAAACTTCCATGGCCAACATGTCCCAGATTTATTGTGTCCACCACTGTGTTAGTCGACCCCTGCCTCTTCTTAATATTATCACTTCATTACTGATTTTTCCAAACACTATTATATTTAATATGACTGAAGTATTTCAGTTTCCAAGAAATAAAACTGTCTGTCTCCTCTCAAAATTTATAAACGGAACAATGTCAGTAATTTTGTTCTTTTTGATTCGTGATACTCAAAGATAATGCACACATGAGAAAATGTTGCTGTTATATTTTCAACTAGCAAGGCCATTTGCTGGTAACATCAGAGCAATGAATACTATTATCCAATACAAACAAACCAGAATTAGTTGAGAAGTTAGCATTGGGTACTTGTCAGAGCACATATCCCTGAGTGTAATTAGAAAAGACCACTATCATAACACTGAAGAAATCCATAGGTGCTCTAATCTCCTCTTCAATAGCTCCAAAAACACAAATGTATTACCTAGCAAAGAATCGACACAACAGCATGCTGGGCATACCAACAGATGATGTCTCCTGTAGCAAATGTATCAAGGCGTAGATACTGTTCTCACTGGTTTCACTCGCATCATAATCGTCCTTTCATATTTCCTTTCTTGCTCACTCCAAACTTAATTCAAAATTCACAGAAACTTATTTATATTGTTTCAAGCCTAAAACAACTCAGCAACTTTTTTTTTTCCTTTTCTTGATGCATATATTTTTACCTTACAATGAAATCTAGTGTGGAAACAAAAAACACACACAACCCAGAGCACTGCTCTTCTGATCCATCAGCATTTGTAGCGTGCTTTGTTCCAAACGTATTTGTGTTACTTTTCTTTTGGAGTAAACAAGTCAGGCCAAGTGAGGGGTCAAGACACACATGGTCTTACAAAACTGTCCAGGTCAGATTTTGTGTTATGGAGAGGGACTTCCCTCCCTTGAGCCCCCCCCCCCCTTTCCTACAAACAGTACAACTGGTCATGCCCATGAATAACCAAACGTCTTGTGATATCAGTAACAAAGTTCATGTCTGACAGTTTCAGACTGCAACCCAACATCCACCAACTTAGGCAAGGGGCAAGGCTCATCATAATAACAGCCTTTGTGATACGCACTACACATGGCACTGATAACACCTCTACATAATCTTCATGCTCACTGCCTTATCTCTGCCTTGGCCTGGCACACAAGACATAAGTAGATGTCGTCTCACAGGAAATGTCAAGGACTAATACCTTGCATCTCAGTGGCATTATCTACTAAGAAACTAAACTGTCATGAAACATACACGAGCTGAACAACCATACTTGATGCTTTCTTCTGCTCTTAACAACATCTAGAGTTTTTTTCTATCTTCAATATGTAATGACAATGACCATAACAACATAACATAACCTAAACATCTGCCCTCAGAACTGTTCAAACATGAACTGTCATAAAATAGTCATGTATTTAAACTATGACTGTCCTTACCTGGGAATTCTTGATCATCTTCAGGCTGTTCTATCTTGACATCTACTGGTATCTGAGTATCCACCTTACTAAAGATTTCAACTTCAGTCGGAGTTTCTTTAGCAGAACTGTGGTATTCTAGGTCTAATTCAGGATGTTCTATCTTGACACCTGACAGTATATTACTCTCCAGTTTATCAGATGGAACTGAACTAGAAACTTCTGGGTACTCTAGATCAACTTCAGACTGCTCTAACTTGACGACTGACTCCATTTTTTCAAATACATTGATTTCATTAAGAGATTCTTTTGCAGAACCATGAATAGTCAGTCTGAAAGGAGAGATGAGTTATATGTTTAGGTAAGCAAAATTATTCAAAATATAAACGTTAATAAATAAAACAAATAAATTAAGGAAACAATCAACATGTTAAGTCATGTTGTGAGAACAAGAAAATCTGAATACAGCACAACGCAAAAGCTAGAAGGGAAGAGAGGCAGTGGGAGACCAAGAGACAAAATGCTGACTTGAAAGTGTGGCATTATGAATTAGAGGAACATCTTTATTAGAAATGATTTACAGAATAAAAGGATGTGGGTAGGCCATGATTACCAACATCATAAATGTATGGACTATAAACAAGCAGATCATTGAATTTGCTGTAAAAAGCTCCCAAGCAATGTTGAAATACGATTTATAATAGAATATGGCCCAACATAAAACTAACAAAACCTGAAGGAACCTTTTCACTTCCCAGGTGCACAGGGCATATGGTGCTATGCTTATATTTCGCCAATCAGCAACTAAATGTGCATACACAAAGCAGACGAATGGGAGAAGATCATGAGGCAGACTCAGAAGACAGTGGGCAGATGATATGCAGGCAGACCTACCTATACTGAGAGTCACCAACTGGACAGAGAAGGCTTACTATAGAGATGAATGGAAATGGGTGATATATTTGCTGGTCAACATCACATGCGTCCCTTTTTTAATAGCTTTATTGTCATTTCATCTGGTGATGGTATTCTTCTTCTTCAGCCTTGCTATCCCCCAATGGAGCATAGGCCCTCAACCAACTCAGGCCAAGTTGTTCTATCCTTCGCCATTACCTGAAGTTCTCGCCATGTCCCCTCCATCTTTCTAACTTCATTCTCCAGCTCTCTTCTCCATGTGTTTTTTGGCCTTCCTTTATGCCTATGCCCTTGTGGGTTCCAATGCAAAGACATTCTAGTTATGCTGTTCTCCTGTTTTCTCAGTGTGTCCTATCCAACGCCAGCGTCTTTTCCTCACCTCTTGGTCCACTGGAGCCTGTTTAGTTCTCTCCCAAAGTTCTACATTAGTTATTCTATCATACCATTTAATTCCCTCTATTCTGCGCAGGCACCAGTTAAGGTTAGGGTTGGGCTTGAAGTTGGCTGCCTCATCCTGTAAAAACAATAGCCACAAAAACCAACCAACCATGGGGATGGTATACACCTTTAGTAACTATAATTATCTGTGGCAGGGTTTATAACATTAAAAGTATATCTTGCTAGGTGTTCTAAAACAGTTATTTACTTTAAGCAATCGATCACAAACAGTAAGAGTCTGCATATGTTGGTTAGGCGGTGCAAACAAACTTCATATTTCTGAGATACCCTGTTTTTTTACAGCTGCTAGTGATTTGACAGCAGACTGCTTTGCATTGATTTTTACAAGAGTGTCAAGAGCGGATCCTTCTGAAAGCAATGACAAACTAATGAAAGTAAAATTGCCTATTACAACCAGCCAAGAAATGCTAGGGTCGGTTCTGCAATGTCCTGTAAAGAAGGATATGAAAAAATCTTTTTTTATTTTAGGAAAAACCGTAATTTCTTGGCCACATAAGGAGAAGGAGATCTGTGGGAATGGCAATAATTTATACAAGTACAGAGAGAAAGAGGAAAACAAGAGGAGATTCTTGGTTGTCATGTCCATATCCCTTATCAATGATAGCATAAGCATGTCGCTGTCTGGGTTTCAAGGCTCCATTTTGATGGTTAAATTAAAAAACAGCCGTCCTACACACAAGCATGTCATAAAAGGCAACAGCTGACACTAGATGTGTTGGGATAAAAGATGCATATATCACTGCCAAGCTGTAAACCACCACAAAATGTGCTAACTGCCCTTCCAAGGGCAAATGCAGATGAAGGTCGATAAGCATGGTCGCCCATGCCAGACGGCAAGGCATTGTTGATGGGGATGATATAAAATATGTTTCCTAAAATACACTAAAACAATCATGCTTTAACAAGATCATCATGCCATGTAGCAACCAACAGCATGTCTTTTCTTTAACAGTTGCCCTGCAAACGCTAAAACAAAACAAAAACAAGAGTCAAGAGCCTGTGAGCATTTTAGAATGCATTTCTGAATACAACACATTAAAAACTATTTTATGCAAGCAAGTAATAACTTTAAAAGAAAAGTTATTTATCTACATTTTCAAACATTTATTTTTGCTCTGAATTATATAAGATATATGGATTATAAAAAAAAAATTTTTAAAACAAACTAGAACAGAATGAGGCATTAAATGGAATGCATTTCCCAGCCTAAGCAAACATGAATCGAGTGATTCAAGCCACAACCTCTATCATTGAGGCTTGCAGGAGCATTTTAAGTCAACCTAGATTGAAGAAAGCTATTGGATTTTCAAAGAAACTCCTCTAAATGCTATATTTAGTTAAAATATTCACATTCAGACCTCTTAAGCAATACACAAGCACACACACAGAACCGACTGCATTTAGCTACGCTATTAGAGAATAGGTCACTGCAGAAATCACCATTAATCTGCTTTTACAGGGATGTTTTACAACCAGAAGTGACCTGATTTAGTTTTCTAGGGGCACAAGAGGTTAAGAGTGGTTACCTGAGCATTACCGTGAGTCTCACTTAAGATAGCAGATAATTTATCTTTCATGGACGAGAGGAAATAAAAGTTCCCACTTGGCAACTTTCATGCTGGCAGCGAATAGGACACACAAAGACAAAACCTGAAAACAATATAAATGTCTACACACTGCAGCTGCCAAGGTCAAAGATCAAAAATACATGGAGAGGCATCTAGAGAGTGAAGTTAAAACGATGGGGAGGACGCAGGGTGAGCAGCATGACTGCATGCAGTAACAACAACAACAACAATATAATGACCTGGGTTTAATTGACTGAAAGTATCAGCTCAACTGCTGGATAAAAGGCAGGAAGAAAAAAATACCTGCAATTATCGTGGCTTCAGTGTGCCTTATATTTCTCAGGCTCCAATACCTTTTGTTATACACCATATTTAAAACTAACAACATCAACTTCATTGAATCACTGCACTAGG